GGGCGCGGACATCGACTCTAGGTGTGTCTCCTACTCTTCATCTACACTGATTTGAAGTGGATTTAACAGGTGACATCAATTAGGGTCATAACTTAAGTAAGTGTTCATGAATTCTTGTCCACTCAGGGTTTCATACTAAATCAACAGAGCTCTCATGTATTTAGTCATCTATCCTTTCAGTACTGGCCTGTGCCTTGGTAGTTACTATTACAAACTGTTTAATATAAATTGATTGAAAATGTACTGACCATTGAATATTTAATATGTTTAAGTTTTCTTTTTAAATCAGCATTTAATAACAAGTGTTGGCATTTGGGTAAGGAGCCAATTTTTAGAGTAAAATGATGTAGGCATGTTAAAATAAAAATATAAAGATATTTTCTAGAAGGATATACAGTACATGGCCAAAATAATGTGCATTAATATGGAGTTGCCCCCCCCCTTTGCTGCTATAACAGCATCCACTCTTCTGGGAAGGCTTTCCACTATATGTTGGAACAGTGCTGCGGGGACTTGCTTCCATTCAGCCACAAGAGTATTAGTGAGGTCGGACAATGATGTTGGGCGATTAGAACTGGCTCGCAGTCGGCATTCCAATTCATCCCAAAGTTGTTCGATGGGGTTGAGGTCAGGGCTCTGTGCAGGCCAGTCAAGTTCTTCCACACCAATCTCGACAAACCATTTCTGTATGGACCTCGCTTTGTGCATGGGGGCATTGTCTTGCTGAAACAGGAAAGGGCCTTCCCCAAACTGTTGCCACAAAGTTGGAAGCACAGAATCGTCTAGAATGTCATTGTATGCTGTAGCGTTAAGATTTACCTTCACTAGAACTATGGGGCCTAGCCAGAACCATGAAAAACAGCCCCAGACCATTATTCTTCCTCCATCAAACTTTACAGTTGCCACTATGCATTAGGGCAGGTAGCGTTCTCATGGCATCAACCAAACCCAGATTCGTACATCGGACTGCCAGATTGTGAAGCATGATTCATCACTCCAGAGAACGCGTTTCCACTGCTCCAGAGTCCAATGGCGGTGAGCTTTACACCACTCCAGCCGACGCTTGGCATTGTGCATGGTGATCTTAGGCTTGTGTGTGGCTGATCGGCTGCTCGGCCATGGAAACCCATTTCATGAAGCTCCCGACGAACAGTTCTTGTGCTGACGTTGCTTCCAGAGGCAGTTTGGAACTCCGTAGTGAGTCTTGCAACCAAGGACAGACCATTTTTACACACATCCTATGACAGTGCCACGTTGAAAGTCACTGAGCTCTTCAGTAGGGGCCATTCTACTGCCAGTGTTTGTCTATGGAGATTGCATGGCCGTGTGCTCGATTTTATACCCCTGTCCGCAACGTGTGTGGCTTAAATAGCCGAATCCACTCATTTGAATGGGTGTCCACATATTTTTGGTCATGTAGTGTATATTGAATAGTGAATGCATGCTTTTGCATTGTATTTCAAGTGAGTGCTCATTAACAGTTATGAGAATGAAATGAAACTAGCCATTTCAGTTTGCGATTACAAACTCAAAAGCATTAGGCTATATCATTTAAATATTAGCTTTCGCAAATAAACAGAGTTATCTTGTCCGTGGTACTGAAGTCTTAAAACAATAGCCAAAGGTCCCACACGTCACGCATCGATTCAGACAGCAAGAAACAACAGACAATGCCAGCAACTTCATGTCAACAACATGTTTTGCTCCAATATAAACAAACAAACAAATAAATAAAACTAACAAGCAAACACATAAACAAACAGATAGGACAATGAGTGAAACATCTCCTCGCTCTGACTAACACTCTCCACATTATTGTGCTGTGTGATTTGTGAATGGTGCTGTGAGATGAGATGCTCAACAAGTGGAATGGACATAAATGCACAGAAATATAGTTATCTGTGTCATGCACTCAAGGTGTTTATTTTTTATTTATTTTTATAAACAATAGTATGTAGCCTCCATGCCTTTATCTCAATCATGCTTATTTCGATTTTTGTGTCGACCAACTTGTAAACTATTATTCCAATAGCTTGTATTCCAAGATAACTGTTCAAATACATGCTTAGTGAAATAGATTGAATAAAATTGTAATATAATGGTCTTGTAATTAGTTTTTTTTTTTTTTTACGAAAAAAAAACATGGGGACAGTCTCCTCCTGTCGGTATACATTGGACAAGCAGCCTAATCCATTTGTCCAATGAACAAAGTATAACAGGCCTATCATAATTTCATATGCTTTGACAAAACATGACCAATAACCCATTGACAAATATTCAATATATCAAATTTGAAATGTTTCTTAGATGAAATGGAGGCTAGAAATGTGGGAAAACAAAAATGCTATGGAACAACTTGATATTTATACACAGTTTACTGTGTGTCCTGCCAAAATTCATGTAGATCTGTGCAATGGCCTAAATGACAATACATTACATGTAAATGAAGCACCTCTGTTTTAAGATCAAATATAGTTAATCAACAGTTATTGCAGGTATGCTTGAAACCCAGCTCCTGTCATGCATCAGGCCTCGATAACGGAATAAAACAACTGGTTATCAGCTAATAATGAGTCATAATAATAGTCTAATTCATATTTTATAGACCTCTCATAATTAATAATTCATTATAATTATAAATAATTAAAACGGACACATTTTACTTGTTGGAAACTGTATCCTGTAGCCTATAATAAGAAAGAAAACTATACCAGAAACACTCGTGCATTAATGTGCATGATCCGCATTAGACTTTTGTAAACACATTAAAGGACATAAAAAATACATGTTGTTAGATCCATTTGGGGAATAATTCACGAAATATAGCATAGCACCAGTTAATTCTGAAAAACGTGTCCGCTACACACAAATTCGCATAAATCCTTCATAAATTGCAATATCAAATAATTTGACAGTATGAATGAGTAAACACACGATTTATTTGCGTAAAAGGAACATAATTTGTAAGTCGCTCTGGATAAGAGCGTCTGCTAAATGACGTAAATGTAAATCGAATCAAATGAAACAAGGCCTCTCTCATTTGCTGCATGATAAGACCCACTATATTGAATTGGAATAAACAATAGGTCTACATTTCAGCAGACACTAATCATCATTTATAAAATAAATTCACTACAATACTATATCTTGTAGTTTCAAGGTATAACCGATAATAATATAATAGTATATTATTATACAATTTCTAATGATAATTCCAATAATAATAATAGGTAAAACAAATAATAAATACTAAAAAACGAATAATAATATTACATTAATAGTAGTATGGTAGTTCTGTTTTCTAGTATTAGGCTGCTAAAATCATATGACCTTTCAGTATTGTTGATAATTCATTATGGTTGTAGTTAGGCTATTACCATCAAATCTAACCATCTACATATGAGGCTATAGCCTAGGCCTAATACAGGCATATTTGGTGAATTGTAACCAATTAAATAAAACAAATGAATACGTTGATTTGATTGGACATCCATAATCCTTTGACAACCTATCCAGCAAAGTATTGAGTTCCTAGTGGCTAGTGGTGATTGCATTCTGCCTCCAATTGCAACGAGAGAAGGGACAACACAAACATTTTGATAACAAGGAGTAGGCGCGCTGTGTGTGGATGAGGGAGGGAGAGAGAGAGAGAGAGAGAGAGAGAGAGAGAGAGAGAGAGAGAGAGAGAGAGAGAGAGAGAGAGAGAGAGAGAGAGAGAGAGAGAGAGAGAGAGAGAGAGAGAGCAGATGCTGACGAGCTATAATGCTATTTGACACTTCTGTTTATGATAAATCATTTAACTCGGGACAGCAGAAGGCTATTCACATGTGGAGAGTGGAAGGTCTAGAACTGCACCAAATGACAAATTAAGTTACTGGACGTATACTGAATTACTTTATTTTCTATTGTGCAGGTTTTGAGGATTTTATTCTCCAATAACTTTCAATCACTGGATCCGCTATATAAAGAGGTGACCTATAATTAGCGCGCTTCTTGCGTTTACATTAAAATGTAGTCTTACCATCGGCATCGACGGGACAAAGGACAGGAGCTTATTCATCAAAACATCTATTAGTAACCGACAGACTACAATTAACATAAAGCTGTTATTTACTTGGAAGAAGCAACGAATTGACTGCAAACGAATTGACTGCAAGGAGGTCCATATTCATTCCCAGTATTTGACCCTTTAAATATAGGATATGTTGTGCCATATTTTGTGCTGTAATAAAATTTCCACTATATTCTTGATTTTACTTGTGTGTTCCCCCTAGAACCAGTTAATATTTTTTCCCAGAAATAACTTCTTGCTTTCCCTCAATATATTATAGGCTTCATAATGGACATGCAAGTTATTTTCGAGGAGATGACCTGGCCATCGCCACGGAGTATATTATTGGGGTCTTTGACATTTCTCTTTGCCATGCACCTGTGGCGCAGGATTAGGCGGAACTGGGAAGTACACAGCCCGCCTGGACCGTTCGCTTGGCCGGTCATTGGGAACGCAATAGAGGTTGGGAAAACTCCTCACCTCTATTTCTCTCGCATGGCACGGAAATATGGGGATGTCTTTCGAATCAAACTTGGCTGCCGGGACGTTGTGGTGCTGAATGGCGACGCAATCAGGCAGGCGCTCATCAAAAAGGGATTTGATTTCGCAGGCAGACCGGACTTTACCTCTTTTCAATACATTTCCAATGGCGATGGCATTGCTTTTGGAACATTCAGCGAATGGTGGAAAGTGCACCGAAAAGTAGCCCAATCTACTGTTCGGATGTTTTCCACCGGCAACACGAACACCAAAAAGGCCTTCGAAAACCACGTTGTCTGCGAAGTTAGGGAGCTGCTCCGTCTTTTCCTGGGAAAAACGAAAGAGCACAAATATTTCCAGCCGATGACATACTTGGTGGTATCAACAGCTAACATAATGACCGCGGTGTGCTTTGGAAAGAGGTATTCCTACGACGACGCAGAGTTTGCGCAAGTGGTGGGACGAAATGACCAATTCTCCCAAAACAGTGGGGGCTGGGAGCATCGTTGATGTGATGCCTTGGCTCCAGTATTTTCCCAACCCAATAAAAACAATTTTTGAAAATTTTAAAGAGCTCAACCAGGAGTTTAGTAAATTTATCGTTACTAAGGTTGTCGAGCATCGACAGACCATTCAGTCAAGCACAATCCGGGACATGACAGATGCTTTCATCATGGCATTGGACCATTCTCAGGACAGCTCGCCCGGGGTCTCACCAGGCAAAGATTATGTGCCACCCACTATTGGTGATATTTTTGGAGCAAGCCAAGACACACTGTCTACTGCACTCCAATGGATCATTCTGATACTTGTGAGGTAAATAGTCTACATATTAATTTGGAATCAGTTTAAGTGAAATGAAAGTACTCTTTTTACCATAGGCTATAATATGTTCTATTAACAATGCATTTGATATTTTAGTCATTAAGCAGACGCTCTTATCCAGAGCAATTTACAGTTAGTGCATTCATCAATTCACAATAGCCTACATGCTTTAAGTTGAGAAAACCTATGCGTAAAACAGAAAAAGCAATTTTGTCTTGGGAAAATGATCCTACCTAATATACTAGTATGCCACTATCTCACAATCAACATAAAACATCGAAAGAGTACTATGCTCTGCTCTTTCATTGCTGGCAGACTACTACTGTACCTGCTCTTGTGTTCGGCACGTCAGTAGCAGAACTAGGATGTTACGTAATAGTCTTAAATAGCAGAAGAGCCCAGGCAGGTATTGGAAGCCTAACATGAGGGCTCCGCTGTACTGAAATCTCGCTTGAGAAAAATAAAGTAATCTGAACCGTAGAACATCATGATGTGAGTTGCCAGTTTGCGCCGGGAAAAATAAAACTGTTTAGATAGTAATTAATGAAATGTTTATTTTGTCCAGTATTTGGTACTTACTTGTAGCCTATATCAACCTGTTGCCCATAGTTACCCACCAAAAATGATTAATGTATTGAGTATGCCCCCAGTGTTGAAATAGAGGTTAGCTTCCCAATAGGAAATTATTTAGCCTACATCTCAATGAACAAAGATACCTGTGTTCTGAGTGTTCACTTTAGACCGTTTCCTATATAGGTTTCCTCAAATCCAGCTGCGTCTCCAAGAGGAAGTGGACAAAGTGGTCTACCGGAGCCGTCTGCCCACCATCGAGGACCAGTCGCAGTTGCCTTACGTGATGGCCTTTATCTACGAGGTGATGCGCTTCACCAGCTTTGTGCCGCTCACCATTCCCCACAGCACCATCACCGACACTACCATCATGGGCTACACCATCCTTAAGGACACAGTGATCTTCATCAACCAGTGGTCCAGCAACCACGACCCCACCAGGTGGACACACCCGGAGACCTTTGACCCCCTGCGCTTCCTGGACCAGGACAGCTCTTTGAACAAGGACCTGGCCAGCAGCGTGCTCATCTTCTCCTTGGGAAAGAGGCGGTGCATCGGAGAGGAGTTGTCCAAGATGCAGTTGTTCCTATTTACAGCATTGCTGGCACACCAGGCCCACTTTAGTCCCGACCCGGACAAGCCGCCGACCATTGACTACACCTACGGGCTGACCCTGAAGCCCAATAACTTCTCCATAGCAGTAAATCTACGGGACAGCATGGAAGTCTTGGAGGAGGCTAGCCAAAAGCCCCTCTATGGGGAGACCCAGGAGGAAACAGGTGACTCCAGATCAGACTGAGAATAGAGTTGCTAAAAGCATTTAAAAAATGGTAAATGAAGCTTGAAAGAAAAAAAAACACTGAAGTAGATTCATGAACTGCAATTCATCCTCATGTGCCATCAGGTATCAGCTACTATATAGTTATAAATATATTTATGAACTGAACACTCAGGCAAAACACCCTTCATATAAATCTACACTACCGTTCAAAAGTTTGGGGTCACTTAGACATTTCCTTGTTTTCAAAAGAAAAGCATTTTTTTTGTCCATTAAAATAATATCAAATTGATCAGAAATAAAGTGTAGACATTGTTAATGTTGTAAATGGCTATTGTAGCTGGACATGGCAGAGTCTTTATGGAATATCTACATAGGCGTACAGAGGCCCATTATCAGCAACCATCAGTCCTGTGTTCCAATGGCACGTTGTGTTTGCTAATCCAAGTTTATAATTTTAAAAGGCTAATTGATCATTAGAAAACCCTTTTGCAATTATGTTAGCACAGCTGAAAACTGTTGTGCTGATTAAAGAAGCAATAAAACTGCCCTTCTTGAGACTAGTTGAGTATCTGGAGCATCAGCAATTGTGGGTTCGATTACAGGCTCAAAATGGCCAGAAACAAAGAACCTTCTTCTGAAACTCGTCAGTCTATTCTTGTTCTGAGAAATGAAGGCTATTCCATGCGAGAAATTGCCAAGAAACTGAAGATCTCGTACAACGCTGTGTACTACTCCCTTCACAGAACAGCACAAACTGGCTCTAACTAGAATAGAAAGAGGAGTGGGAGGCCCCGGTGCACAACTGAGCAAGAGGACACATGCATTAGAGTGTCTAGTTTGAGAAACAGACGCCTCACAGGTCCTTAACTGCCAGCTTCATTAAATAGTACCCGCAAAACACCAGTCTCAACGTCTACAGTGAAGAGGCGACTCCAGGATGCTGACCTTCTAGGCAGAGTTGCAAAGAAAAAGCCATATCTCAGACTGGCCAATAAAAATAAAAGATTAAGATGCGCAAAAGAACACAACACTGGACAGAGGAAGATTGGAAAAAAGTGTTATGGACAGACGATTCAAAGTTTGAGGTGCGGATCACAAAGAAGAACATTTGTGAGACGTAGACCAAATTAAAAGATGCTGGAGGAGTGCTTGATGCCATCTGTCAAGCATGGTGGAGGCAATGTGATGGTCTGGGGGTGCTTTGGTGGTGGTAAAGTGGGAGATTTGTACAGGGTAAAAGGGATCTTGAAGAAAGAAGGTCATTTTGCAACGCCATAAACATACCCTGTGGACGGCGCTTGATTGGAGCCAATTTCCTCCTACAACAGGACAATGACCCAAAGCACAGCTCCAAACTATGCAATAACTATTTAGGGAAGAAGCAGTCAGCTGGTATTCTGTCTATAATGGAGGGGCCAGCACAGTCACCGGATCTCAACCCAATTGAGCTGTTGTGGGAGCAGCTTGACCGTGTGGTACGTAAGAAGTGCCCATCAAGCCAATCCAACTTGTGGGAAATCTTTTCAGATTACCTCAACAAATTGACAACTAGAATGCTAAAGGTCTACAAGGCTGTAATTGCTGCAAATGGAGGATTCTTTGACGAAAGCAAAGTTTGAAGGACACAATTATTATTTCAATTAAAAATCATTATTTCTAACCTTGACAATGACTACATTTCCTATTCATTTTGCTATATTTCCTATTCAAACTCATTTCATGTATGTTTTCATGGAAAACAAGGACATTTCTAAGTGACCCCAAACTTTTGAACGGTAGTGTATATTTTCTTTGTTTTACAGGTAATCACTCAAATGACTATGGATTACAAAAATGCAACTTTTAAAGATTTCTTAAATAAGTTATTGCACTGATGTTTGCATATATTTCACTGGAACACGCCAGAACATACAATAGCTTACAGTGGGCATCTGTGGGCGGTGGCCTGTTCTTTTACACCTGTTTGATACTTCATTTACTGTATTTACTGGAATACTGACCAATTGGAGTTGATTCAGTCATTTTACTTTTCCCACCATCTCAGAGAGTACTGTGTGTACCTTTTATGTCCCAAATGTATCTCCCAACAAGGTCAATATGATACAGAGAGAATATTGATATACTTATTATAGTAAATATAGCTAAGTAGGTAGATAGTAATACCGACCTTATTACTATTAAATACAAACATTATGTAGTTTACTCAACTTTGACAAATGTGTTGAGACGACTCTGGAATGTAAATATGCAGAACTTTCCTGCTCCAAAGTTGAGTAAACTAGAAATCATGTTGCAGCTGTTTGGCTTGATTTATTAAACAATATGGTATTAAACAAAATTGTGGTAGTAATAACCTTTGTAGCAATATTAGCAAAAATATGTGATTTGGTCCGAAGAATGAGAGTTCAATCCCGTTCCTCAACTGTGCCATAACTAAACTGATTGGTTGGACCAAATAAGTGGTCAGATGTAACATTGCATAGGCCACTACTGGTTTAATAACTAATGTCACTTGTTACAGGCTAGTAAGTACTAGCAGTTCCATGCAGTTATGCAGTACTACTTTATACTGTATACTCTTGAAAAACAGAATTGTCAATAGTAAGTAGGCTACTTACAAACCTGTACTTAAATACATATTTTAACTGAATTCCATCTAATTTACACTGGAATAAGGCCATAAGTATTGTTATGTTTTGCCTAAGTGCTTCTGATTGTTGATTAACTTATAGCCTGTTCCAATAGACAAGCCTGGGGTACACTAAGGGTACATTGTTTACGAATGTAGCCTGTGTCTGTGAACTGCTGTAACATACATTTGTTCAATTGAAATACAAATGTTTTATCTATATTGGGTTAGTGTTATTTTGAATATAATCATCTGCCGCAAAAAGTGCTCTCTTTTTTATTGTTTCTTGTTCTCTTCGAGTGCTATGTCTTCATAAGCTTGAACGTCCAAAAGGATGCTCTGCAAAAGTTCTTTATAGATACACCATATCATTTAGATTCTTTATTTAAGATGCCAGTTATCGAATGATTTATTCTCCATGTTGTATTAAATACAGAACATAATCATAACATTACTGCAACTGTGATGTTGCTCTTGTGAGAGGATTTTATGATATCTATTTGAACTGATGACATTGGGTTGATGAGTACAGATAATATGTGTGATATTGTACACTTCATACTAAATTAAAGGACATTTTATTCTTCCTTGATTTGTAACTAGTGTATTTATTATACTGATATGAGTTGGAGTAACAAGAGATTGCGTTTTGTTTTTATTTTAACACATGCCTCAGAATAGGAGGTATATCTAACCAGCTTTTGAGTAGGTACGGGCTCATTCTTACCAAAATAAAAAGTACAGTGTGGGCAGGTAGAATAAAAATAGAATGCTGATACTGCAGTGTTTAGGAATACACAAAGGTTATTTAAAAAGTCACTCAACACTTCCATCTTTCAAACTCACTATGGCTGAGAATTCCTATTTTTAAATGACCGGTTCAATTGTTTCAGAAAATAGAACAACCTTTACTGGTGTATTTTCTGAAATGGCAGAATTATTATTATAAATACACTGTCTCATAGTTTGCTACAGTAGATTTCATTACCGTCTTATTTCAGCAAGCAAATTTATTGTATTATGGGCACATAGCCATCTCATGTTGGAACAAAAGGGAAGTGTTTAGGAGAGCCCTTTCCCTGCGGTACATTTTATCTCGCTCACCCAGAACATCCTGTACTTGATCAGCGAGATGCTTGCAGCCAGACAGCCAGCTTGGAGTGCGTGACAAATTCAGATAAAGCCAGACGATTACTGATATGCCACTCCCTTATGCTCTCCCTTTTACAGAATAGAAAAGGAGGAGAGTCAAAAAAAAAGATTTGCCTCAGATCTCAGCGTGAAGGAAAAGCATAGATAGACAAGACTCGGAAATTCGGCACATGTCAAATAATTGCGGGGTTGTGAGGGTTTGATTTTTGGTAAAGGATTTTTCAAAAAAACAAACAAACCATATTCCAACATAAAGGCAGAACTCTGCATTCAGGGTCCAAAGCGCTCTTCAGTCCTCATCCTACACACATGACCCTATGGATGGTGGCGGACATGTTGAATGCACCTTAAACATCATATTTGGCATTGAGCGTTATCCTTGATAACGTCAGCTTCAGGGTTATTACTAGACCACAATACAGCCCTTGCTAAACCTCCCCTCTTGGGTTACAGTAAGGACTCTAAGGCAGCACTCTACTACTACTTTATTCCCCACACAAGCCAGGAGAGAGTAACGAGTGTTGACCTGGCAAATGAAAGAAGAAGCCTTACACCTCTGAAAATCTATATTAAGAAAGTCTCTAGGTTTTGCTCGCCTGAGGTAGAGTATCTCATGATAAGCTGTAGACCACACGATTTACCAAGAGAGTTTTCATCTATATTTTTCGTAGGTGTCTATTTACCACCACAAACTGATGCTGGCACTAAGACTGCACTCAATGAGCTGTATAAGGCCATAAGCAAACAAGAAAACGCTCATCCAGAGGCGGCGCTCCTAGTGGCCGGGAATTTTAATGCAGGGAAACTGTCATCCGTTTTACCTCATTTCTACCAGCATGTTAAATGTGCAACCAGAGGGAAAAAAACTCTAGACCATCTTTACTCCACACACAGAGACGCGTACAAAGCTCACCCTCCATTTGGCAAATCTGACCATAACTATATCCTCCTGTTTCCTGCTTACAAGCACAAACTAAAGCAGGAAGCACAAGTGACTCGGTCAATAAAGAAGTGGTCGGATGACGCAGATGCTAAGCTACAGGACTGTTTTGCAAGCACAGACTGGAATATGTTCCGGGATTCTTCCGATGGCATTGAGGAGTACACCACATCAGTCACTGGCTTCATCAATAAGTGCATCGATGACGTTGTCCCCACAGTGACCGTACGTACATACCCCAACCAGAAGCCATGGATTACAGGCAACATCCTCACTGAGCTAAAGGCTGCCGCTTTCAAGGTGTGGGACTCTAACCCGAACGCTTGTGTGCTGAACTGGTGCCGAAGAAGATGGCGGCCTTGCGACTAGCTCTTAGGAAACTTTGCAGTATTTTGTTTTTTTACGTATTATTTTTTTACATTATTAGCTCAGAAAGTGTTTTGCATCATTACATACACCCGGGAAAATCTATTGGATATCAGAGCGGCGGTAGCTCAC